ATAAATTTCAGTATGCGGACGGCATAATTGTGCAATTTGCGCATATGTTACGCAAGCGTCTAGCTGGATTACTATTACTGCAATTGCAACCTATTTCCGTTAATCAACGGAATAGAAAGTGTATGGAGGGCGCGAAATAAGACTCGGTACTTTGGTACTCGGTAATCGATAATTTGGATCGTATATTATACATACATGCAACATTACTTGAGAAACACAATTCGAGATCAATAGAGTAAAAGATACCTAATGACAAGAAACATCGCGAAGAAACACATCGAGTTTTTCTGTTCAAGATCTTCAATACTCTCTATAAATCTAACTTTTTTTTCGATGTGTACGCTTACTTATTTAGAAAAAGACCAGTCGTGCGTTATTCCCTTTAAGTAGAAAGGAAAATATGTTGATACACGACTATTGCAGCGATCTCAAAAGAAAGTATTTTCCATTTTACAGACAAGATACTATACTTGGCAAGTACGATTTATTTAGGAATGTCTGCAATCGGATCTATCTTTAAATATTGCTGCTAACAACCAGCAATTTGTATTAACTCAACCTAGCTTTGGTCAGTAATATACATATTCGATTTGCTAATTCTCAAAGTATCAAGTATCTATAATTTCGCATATAGATGATTTCATAAATTTACAGTTCTAGCCTGCTTCGATGTCAAAGTCGTCCTAAATTTATTGTTGGCTTTGACTCACTTAGCTAACATGTTCACAAGTACTCGTGGCGTATCCGTATCCGGTCTGAGTGGTGGACTTATAACGTGGCCGGCGGCATGTCTCCAGCACTTGTGTAAGTAGTTGGTACCATCCGTGCCAATTGCGGCTGCCAAGGTTTCACCAAAGACACAAACGCCACGCTTACGCGCGGCCTCCACTTGTTCGGCGGCACTACGACTCATCACATGCACTATGTACAGCGGACAATTGACCTAAGCATGCAGAATTTTGGAACTAATACGGCATAAGATGCGACAGTAATTCTTAAAACATATATATTTTCAGTTGCTGAAAGAGAGAGAGAGAGAGAGAGAGGGGGGGGGGAAGGGACAGTAAAAAAAATTAATTTTTTTAAAGCAATATATATCTTTTTTAAGTATATATAAAGATGCAATGTAAAACTATAAAATTAAAAAAGAAAAGTTGAAATATTTAAGAAGATATAAAAAAAGAAGAAAGGAAGATGCTAAAATATGAATTTAGAGAGGAAAAATAAAATGGAATAGAGAAGTAATAAAGAGCAATTTTAAGCGCTATTATCACATTTTATGGCGTGATACAGATATTTCTTGATCTCAGTACGACTCGAAAATTTTGTACATCAGGCACATGCTATGAAAAGTAGTGTTCTAATTTCTAATCTACTAAATTTATGATCGTTCGTGAACTAAATACTGCTACGGGTACCGTGCCAAGTATATCTATATAGAACTTTAAAAGTAGTTAAATATAAAAAAATCTTACGTGTTTGAGACAAAGATATACATCAAAACAAATAACGAAGAATGAATATACGAAACTCTGACTAAAAGATATCAATGTTTTAACAATGATATTATAGCGAAGCGTTTAGCTTACCTGATTCGCGATAACGCATGCTCTATTCACAGCCTCCGCTTCAACCTCTTCGGGGCGTGACATCTCGTGGCCTTCTGGGCCAGTTACTCCTGCGGCTAGTAATTTCTTCGCATTCTGGAACAAGTTTATGATGGTGGAAAAGAACTCGTATGTTGTATTTTACATTAAAATCCTGTTTCAAACAACGTGGATATACATTATGAACCTCCATTACTCGCATAATTTTCAAGTCACATAGCAGTTTTATTAGCTTAGCTTTTTTTTATGTTACTTTGTTCGTCGACCATAATATACAAAAGATATTAAAAGCTTAGAAGTTACTATATATAAATATACTATTTTTATATTTTATGCTTTCAGAAATATATCTATATTGAAACGTGCGGAACCTCATAATCTTAAGAGGATATTAGGGAGGATTAATAATCAGAAGTATCATGAAGCAGCGAATTGATCTCAGGTAATACGTGCATTAGCGTACGCGTTATCATCATTTTGTATACGTATATGATATACCTCCGCGATAAGGTCGCCGTTCTCCGCATGCACCATAGCAATGGCGCCGATCTCCTTGCATGCCTTGAAAGTTTCGATCAGCTCCGGATCTCTGAGCATAAACATATCTTGGTACGCCATAAACATTTTGAAGCTACCGACGCCGTGCTCTTTCACCAGAGTCGTCATGTCCTCTTTGACCTGCAGACAGATGAGGCAATGAATATCGATGAATAATGAATTGCGAACGTGGCTTCCTTTCGATTGTATGATGGACAGCAGCAAATAAGGAGGCTCGATGGCAAATCGCTCTCGTCTATCGTGCCCTCAGGGAGCACGTGCGGTTTTCTCATCCGCCGTCACTCGGTATTCCAACCGCGTGATCGGCAATCGTAGATCGTAGTATATAAGCCGGTTACGAGAACTGCACAACCAATTTACAGAACGAGTTTGTTAGTTTTCCTACATTTGGAATCGCTCTGATCCAATCTCTATCGAATGTCGATAATTAAAGCTGTGCATTTTTTAAAACCTGAACCATACTAAGACACGAAAAATTACGAAAAATTGAGTTTAACTGAATTCTCTTTCCGCTTCGCCCATATTATGGATAAGAATATAATTTGAATTAGAAAATGAATAGATATAGAAAATGAATATCAGACAGTGTTAACATCTGATGAATTTGTTTAAAACTTTTAAATTGAATTACGAGTACCTCAATGACCAGAAAGTATAAAAGATACAATTAATGTATTAATTTTATGTAATTCGCGTATATCGTAACTTACATTGGAATTAGATAAATTGTCATTAAGACAATTGACGTCTAGTTAACATAATCAACATGTAAGTCTATAATAGATAAACGTTATAAAGTATTGATTTTTTTGAAATATTGTATTTAGAAATGTCATAATTTTAAATATGATTAACAGAAGGGAAGAAAGATGTCAAACCTAAATAAATTTTCTTTCTTAGGAGGATTTCGTGTTAAACATTGAAATTATCTCGTTCCGGATAACTAGAGAGACAGAATAGATGCACATGGCGCAATGGACTGGCTTAAACATTACGTTGTACTTATAGCGTAAACGCTTGATCGACGTATCATATCATAAAAGCAGTAGTATGGTAGTCGATAGCTAGGAAAACTGATGAAATTAGAAGTAGATACTTGTGTGACATGTTCTAACAAACTTCATTGGATTGCAATATATCTGTTGTAAGATATAATATGTAAAAAATATAAACTTATAAAATGTTTTATTCAAAATTTTCACCTTCGGACTCCAAGATGTTACGGCGACGTGCAACGCATAATCGCAGCATACTTTTTGGTCCGCCGATTGCCTATATCTCTCATAAGCCTCTACGATGCTCTCGTCTTTTCGCGGCACTACAAAATCAATGATCATCGTGGTACCGCCAGCGACTGCGGCTTTTGTGCCCTGATAAAAGTCATCTACCGACTTGGTACCCATAAACTCGAACTCGAAATGTGTATGCGGATCTATGCCACCGGGCATTACATATTTTCCACGAGCATCGATGGTTCTCGTGCCACCCGGAATAATGAGATTACGTCCCATTTGCCTGCGAACAAAAATGACAATTTTTCTCAAATAATTTCCTTCGTCCTTCGCAATCAATTCGAGAGATTTTTTGAGATAAATTACGACTCAATTAATCAAATTAATCTCAGTTGACATTGGCTAGTTGATTTGGACAGTTTCTATCGATTATCTAACGCTTACGATCAGTCACGCTCGTTCGATGAACGTTACAGCGAACGTAAATGTGTTATCTGTCGCTACACACCTCATTCAGATCTAAGTGATAAAATTACCGCGAATATGTAACACATTTAGTTTATAAAATAGCGGTTAGACAAGTAAATTAAATATATTGTAATATTACCAATGTAAATGCACAAACCTCGCTATTTTTGAGAATCGTGTGGATCTTAGCTTAGTAATTTGCCCTAATAAGTCCACTGGTAATTTCTGCACACGATGCATTATATTTTTTAAAAAAAACGATTTTGTAGGGAAAGTATCAAGCTTTCACGATATGTAATCGAAAATTTTCTCAAATTCGTTTTGGACACGTTACAAATCCACAAAGTGAGAAGAAAATTTTTCGTCTTTTTCAGCTCGTAGTTTTTGGTATGTAAAAATTATCAAACTCATATAAACTTAAAAAATGTGATAAGCTTTTAAAAGTAGAGATTTCAAGCCTTCAATGAGAGATTTCAATGACTTTTTACTACACCTAATATGTATGAACGCGGAATACAAATCAATATTACGCGTAATTAAAATGTATTTCGTATTTGCATACCTGATGATGCCATCCTCGATGTAGACATCGCTGTCGATTATCCCATCGTCGTTCACAACCTTGCCATTTTTAATTAACAATCTGTTCTGCGCGCTCTAAAACAAAATAATATTTGCGTTAGTTTAACGAGAGTTTATAGTTTCAAAAATATTGCTTCTAATGATTATGGGATATAACGGATTCAGCAGATCTCTTCTACTATCGACCATGATTCGGCCAACTGTCCTTGGTATAAGGCAACCTGATAATACGCAACGTGCATGGACTTCAACATCCGGCATACGCAATTAATGTATATACGTGCGCATCGCCGTGTACTACGGTATTATCAATCAGCGATGTATAAGAGAGTGCTCGTTCACGCACTTCCGCCAATGTACGCGATACGGATTTAGAGCATGTACACGATGTGCATGATCCGATAAGCTAATAATTATCCTGTTTTTTTTTTTTAAAGGATATACACAAAATACATTTCTCTATTCATTTTTGCAGCGAAATGCAAATGAATTGGCATTAAAAACATTTTATCAATATTTTGTATAACAAAAAATTATATTTTATATATCACATTTAGTTTATAAAGTAGCGGTTAGACAAGTGAACTGAATATATTATAATATTACCGGCATATTACCAGTTTAAATACACAAACCTCGCTATTTTTGAGAATCGTGCGGAATCTGAGCTTAGTAATTTGTCCTAACAAGTCCACTGGTGATTTCTGCACACGATACATTATAGTATAATAGATTCTTATTAACGTCGTAAAATACTGAAATACTAAATATACTAGAAATTTAATTAGAAATTGATTGAAGTTTGTAATTATTTCATTTCTTACATATATCCATGATAGGTATAGATAGGTATGTATTGTAGATAGAAACTGCTATCAAAAGATTTAACGATGTCAAAGATATCAATGACCAATTAACGAAATCAAAAAATATAACGCAGTTATCAGTTGCAATTATCTTGTGTTTCATTATTGACGTAACATTGCATTCCGTATACGATCTTGATCTTGTTGGAGGAATTAGATAGGTATGGAGGAGGGGGGAGAGAGAGGGAGAGAGAGAGAGAGAGAGAGAGAGAGACTCAGAATTAGAATATGCACCACAGCTAGGTTGCATCGTATCGGTGCATGGACGAACATTCCTTTAAAGGGATGTTGTGTTTTTCGCTCTCGTGCGTACAGAGAGAACGTAAAGGCCCAGCCCGTAGAGAAAGGGACTGACGATGAGGACGACAGGGTGTCCGTCGCGGTGTCAGAGAAAAAAGAACAATTCCCACATCAGCATAGTCTAGACTTCTTTGCGCCCCATGGAATCAGTCATGTTGATATAACGAGTTCTTCCGACGGCGAGCTCTACAAGACCCCTTCGATCTTGAGTGAATTTTAGCCGCCCTTCGATGCTTCTGTATCATCGATCCTAATCAGTTCTGTACTGTTTCGCATCAGAAAGCAATTCGATATACAAACAGCTGAAATACTATTTTCCAATCTGTCTAAAGAGATTTTCGTGTCACATAACTGTGAAATATCACAAATAAACGTTTACATTATTAGTACGGGTTTCGTATACAGCCAAGGCCATTGACTTGGATGATTTCTTAAACAATCTGACACTGTAAATAGACTTTTTGATAGATGTAGGATTCGTTGCATCAATTGAAGACGTTCAATAGAATCGGTGCAACAATGTATCTCGATTGAACTAATACGTAAAATTCAATGTAAAACAGTGTAGGAGATACTTTACGGGAAATGTAGAGAAACGCCGATGCTTGACCTTCGAATTTTATGTGCTGAGAGACCATCGGTAGATGTATTTTACGAAGGCGGAGACCTTGTCATCTTCAGAGTGTAGTATTAGCAGCAGCCGAGAACATATGTGTTTCATGTGTTAGAATTAGAAATCAGCGCGCGAGTATTTTCGGCGAGCATGCTCTTTAGATACGTCACGTATACGGCGTCGTGTGTGATTTTTTTAAGTGAAATCTTTGCGGGAGTGCTTCGAGAGCAATAAAATGAAGTATCAGTCATTGATTTAACTCTCTCAAAACTTGCAAATCGATAAATTATATAAAACATATTTGGTTTTATTGTTGATCTCTTCTTTCTTTTTGTCGAATTATTAAATATATATATATATAAGTAGATAACATTAATAATAAAATGTAATTATTGTAAATTTTAATCAAAAGAATAAACTTTTTGCAATTTTTTACTTTCTTTCTGTGTAATTAAATCCAATTTTTAAATTAATAAATTATATATATAAGCACAAAGGTTTCAAACGGTTAGAATAAACTTTTATAGTCTCGTATAAAAAGATGTACGATAAAACAGACAATTAATATAAAAAATTAGAAACAATTAATCTTTCAACTCAATACGATACAGATTTTTTTCATAAAAATACTTTGTGTATATATATGTATAATATAAAAAGTTACTGTTTATATTATATAATATATGAAGCAATATTCACGCTGTATAAAAGCGACACTAATACGTTGCAAAATGCGGGTTGCGTCAAGTCAGACCAGGGGCCCTGGTTAAAATCAATAGTCTCCGACACTTCCTGCCTATATGTTTCAAATTCGCCGGCACGAATCAACACGGTTGTAACTTGTAAGTGAAAATTCCTTATCGCGAATATCTTCTTACGATTAGACCGTGAGCGGCAATTTGGCGTGTCAGAAACCTGCTATACTCTCTCTCTCTCTCTCTCTCTCTCTCTCTCTCTCTCTCTTCATTTCTCAAGGTCTCTCGCAAAGTATGAGAATAGGATTCCTCTTTTAGACTTTCGGTGCTAGGCGCGAGAATGCAGATAGATCGATCTCCCAACAAATGTCCATTATTTCCTTGCAATATTTATGCGACATGTCGTTTCCTTTGCCAATGAGGAAGAAGCTAATAGAAGCTATTTTTAGAAACTTGCATCTAATTTACATCGTTCATTTAATTTAATTGAAAGTTATTACCTGATGCGCGCGACTTTTCATGTACGAAAGATGTTTATTTAGATCGCAAAAAATTATAATTAAAAGCTCTATAATAAAAGAAAAACATTTACAAAGGTATCTTTTACCTTTACAAGAAATGAAAGATGCTCTCTACATCTAAACCGGTAATTTTAAACAACTGCGATGCAGGTTGACTCGACAAACAGTGCGAGACACACGCGGCGGCCAAACTGAGATATTACACAATTATTTGATGTATTTATTGTTTTGCATTCAAAAAGATAATCAAACATTAAAAACTTATAAACTAAAAATGTATAGTTAACAAACTTTTTTCTATTCTTAAAGATTCTTTATCGTTAAACGTGATAACATATACACACACACGGTGAGTGCAAAAAATATTCGTACAAGAACATTTTTTAAAAGTCTTATTTGTAAGAAATAAACATTAATTAGCAATTTTATACAATAAATACATTCTGTTTTAACATAAACAAACGAGCTTTGCCTATATTCCTAATTTTAGAAGCTAAATTTCTTGACTGTACGCATACTTTTTGAACATCCAAACAATACAATTTGTAATTTTTGCTTATTTTTCAGATGATATATTTTCTGTAATTAATACATATCCTTTTGGTATATATAATTTTAAGAAACATACAGTCTATTTTATTCTTTATAAATAAATTGTTAATTACCCAGCAAGAAATGACCGTCAATTAAACGTAATAAAGTCGAATCGTCAAATTGATGTTGAAATTATTGTATCGATTCGACATATCAGTTCGATTACACATTTGTCGCTGGATAATATTTACTTTTTGAAAATAAAGTTTTTTTTTAAAAAACATTTTCTCGGTACGAATACTTTTTGCACTCACTGTATACAAGTACAATAATATCCAAATTTCACCAAAAATTATGAATAGGATAACAATAATAATATTGTACAATACATTAAAGTGCTTCTCAAGAAAAGTAGTCTGGTGCGTAAATCGTTTTTAATTTTTTCCAAGTGCACACAGTACTTAACAAATATGTAGACACGCAGATTAATCTGCGTCTGGGAAAGAACTCAATAGTTACGCAAGGCAAACCGCTTCTTCTCAATTATCGTACGATCGCCGGCTATCGAGTACGAGTGTAATTACGTCATTTTTCTTAATGAGAGATACCGTACGCGGACACATGCGTACATCTAATTCATGACTGTGCATGAGACCTCTACGAGAGCTCTCTTTGAGACGACATTGTTGTCCTTGGACCGTATCCCACGATCGTGTTTTACCACGTAAAACGATCGCGCGAAGATGCACACGCGTACAAAACTGGCATTGAATCGCTTGAATCCCACATCTGACTTTAATGAGAACCTACAATAATCAAATTGATTTCTATTCTATATGTAGGCATTGCGCTTTGATTATTTCTTAACTGACGCACGTTAAGAAGATTGCAATCGTTAATGCACATTAGTATTGGTCTTCTTTATACATCTATTTATCATATCCTATCGGTTTTACGCGAACGAGAGAGATCGCGAACGATCCGCCTGTCTATTCTACATTCGACATACACAGGAAATGATTGAACATAAGTCACACCTGGCTTCCTCTATCACGGCGTTTACGTTTGAGAATTGGTGCCGGCAACTCGCGTTTCGATCGACCGACTTAGCGACCTAGTCAAATTGAATTTTGCATAGTGCATCATCGTGAAAACGCAATGACGGACGGTAAGAAGGGATTTTTCGCGAGATTGCTTCGACCAACAATAGCTAAATAAAACTTCAAAACTAGGCAAATGCGAATAGAGCAAAAGGAAGCAGAGCAAGATAAGTAGCTAACAAAAATTGCCGTGAATAATAGTATACTGCGACATGCTTCGAAAGCCATATGTGTCACTCTTTTAATTTAGTCATATGGCGCGCGTGTCGCATCGTCGAAATCATGATAACTTATCATACATCAATAATTGGCTGTGTCTACAAAGCTAACACCACATTTTTAGAATAATAATAGAAATTGTATTAATCGATAATGACATTATAAATTGTACTAATTAATGGGCATGTAATCTTTTGATAGGAAGTGGTAGAATTCTTCAAATGTTAGAATTTTTTTTTCAGAAAAGGAATTCTAATGATCGAGTAGTAGATCTGAGAATACAGGATAACAACGTTTACGTTCGATTTGGAATACAATATGTATATTATTGAGTCGTATGAAAATAACAGAACATTATCTCGTAGAAATCAAATGACAACATTAAATGCTTAAATGTGAGATGCAACACATTTATAGCCTGCAAATAGCATAGCAGTTTATATAAATTCACCATAAATTCTTATAAACAGTAATATTAAATAATAGATAGTTTACAAACTATTATATTAATTATTATCTATAACTAATTAAACGATCGAACAAAAATCTTTCAGTTTACTTTACCCGACGATTAACTTGGATATTAACTTGGCAAACTGCCGTTGGTTTTTTATAATACTCGGTAAAAATACTAATAATTGTATTACAAATTGCAACAGAGAATGAGAGACTATACAGAGTGTTTCAAAATTCGCGCCCGCAAAGAGTACAAGATGTAATACTTTACTAAAAACAAACAACTTTTCCCTTTAACAAAATTGCATCCGATAAATAATTTTTGCGCTTATCTGTTAATTTCAACCTGCTCTTCTTCCAAAATTACTATTTGTTAGACGCAATTTTGCAAAAGGAAAAAGTTGTTTCTTTTTAGCGTAAAGTATCACATCTTGTACTTCACGGGCACGAATTTTTAAACATCCTGTATATTTAATAATTAAAATATTATGTTATTATGTTATATACTAATTAGGGGGCAATAAAAATAACGTGCTTTCTGTTGAAATAAACATGTAATAAAATATTATAACGTAAAAATCCAGCGCACAATGAAAGAAATATTGGAAACAGGAATATACATATATTAAATATTGGAGAAATGAAGAAATTAGGAATAGAGAGAGAGATGCAATGCATATTTTATTTGTTTAATTTTCATTTCTAATTTTTTTATTTCTTTAATATTCAATATATATTTATTTCTGCTATTTCCGCAATATTTCCATATTATCGTACACTCGTAAGATCGTAAAGATAAAAAGACTTGTCGAACGATTGGAGAACGCGTTGCTTAATTTCTAATCAAGGACATTTTCGTCTCGCCAGGAAGATTCTTCTC